GTGAAGACAATAATGAATATTATATCCTTAAGTAAAACACGAAACAATTAAAATATACCCTGAATTTTTATTTTAAGGCTAGTAGAAAAAGAAAACATGGAGAAACTCAGGTTTCATTATTTTCCAGCAAAGAAGAGCCTGAAACTGTTGAGACAGGTACTAAAATTTTTGCCAAACAGAATGTACCCCTCAAAACTATTTTTTTTTATTTTTTTCAGAAGGCAGACACAGCAGTTTGAGGGCAAGAATGTCTGCAGAGCAGAGATCATCATTAATCAGATCGGTTTCTAGAATACAATCTACCTCAAGTAAGTTGAATAAAAGTAGATTAATATTTTAAGGTAATATTTCGACTAGTTGCGTAATTTCGACTAGTTTTATTAAAAAAAATCAAGATAATCGAACTGTGAACATCACACGTTCTGTATGGGATTTTGTGCGATATTTCTTATCAATTTTGATAAGATATAGGTAAATCGATGGACGTTATTTACTTTGTAATATGTCGAAACAATTTTTTATATAACTATGTGCACTAAATTTGTTTGATAAAAATATTCTAGACGTTGACTAAAATTGATAAAAAATAAAACATACGTTACGTTTGGAAAAATATGATGATACGATTTGAAAAAAAAAATCGTTGGAAAGATATTTGGGAATTGCGCTGATTTGTTTTTTATGATTAACTAGATGACCCAACAGACGTTGTCCTGTACTTATGTTTACAATTCAAAAGTTCCAATTTTTTTTAATAACCTATACTGATATTTACCATCAATTAGTTAAAAATTATTATGATTTTTTAGGTTTAAGGTTTTAAAAAATTGGATTCGCTAATTTTATGTTTTCTGGACGTTTCAAGCCATTCTGAATTGAATCATAATAATTTAAGATTTAATTTAAGGTTGTCAAATATCTCCCTTCCGCCTTTTTGTATTATAAACCAAGAGCAAAAAAGCGGAAGGGAGATATTTGACAACCTAATACTACAGTCTACACCCAAATGTATATGCATCCACCCATATGGATCTTAAATGTACAACTGCTTTAAATAAAATGATGAGTATTTGCGAAGTTCTTTTGAAAAAAAAATGAAATTACACCACTGACAAGGATGTCATTCCCCTGGGAAATGGCAAAGGAGTCTAAATTATTTTCACTTTTGAACTTGAGAGTAAGATAAATCTAATTTTAAAATATATTACGAATTGGAGCACAGTAAAAAAATTCAGACCCAAAACGCTCCATTGACTTGAGTAAATATTCCGTATCCGATTGCAAAAATGTGAAAATACTAACGTTTGTATGTGAAAAAAAAGGGTTGTTTTTAGGGTTTTTCCGGCAATTATTCAATTTTTTTCGCCGTAAGAACCATCCTTGGACTTCAACGAACATTTTAAAAAAAGAATTGGCCAAATTCGTCCAGGAGTTGTTGAGTTATACGCTTACCAATAGATTTAACGATTCATTTTTATATTATAGATTTACGTGTTTGCAAAGAGATTCTACTTTGAATCTGACTTGAATTTATTTAGACTCTGTATAGTTTTTATTTAAACTCCAAATTGATCCTAAATACCCTAAGTAGCTTCCAATCAGGTTCTAACTAGTTTCTCTTAAGATTCATGTCAAATTCTCATAAGATTACCTAGTAGATTATTATAAGATTCTCACTAGTATCCAATTAGATTCTCATCGGGTCTTATTCGATTTTTATTGAATTTTATTGAAAGATTTTCTTTCAATTTAATAGCACATATGATGTTATTGCTTAGTGGTTTCTGATCAGGTTATAACAAGCATCTCATGAGCTTATTACCAGATTCTTATAAGATTACTTACTAGACTTTTATAAGATTCTCAACATAATCTTATTGGATTCTTACCAGTTTCTCGCAAGAATGTGCTACTGAGTTCTTGCTACATTTTTATTTGATTTTACTAGATTCTTGTAAATCTTGCTACATTTTTATTTGATTTTACTAGATTCTTTATGGGATTACTAGATTGTTATTGGATTCATACCATACTCTTATTCGATTCTAACTTCAACTTGATTTTTAGTTGCCAGAGATTTTCTTTCAATTTAATTGCACTAAATTTTATGACGTATTATCCTTTATAAGTTACCGAACGACGCAAATCGACAATAAGCACCCTAAGCACCCTCGGCATGTCCTCCGACGGAGACGGAGTCTCCAAGCTTGGAAGGGCCATAAGTGCGGCGACCATCAAATCCAGAATTGGTACAAGTATTTCGTCGGAAAGTGTGGTGGGATCAGTTGGCAAATCCAGTGGCTCGTCTAAGGGTCACAAGGTGCCGTATTTTGTATTGGACGAGGGCGAAACGCTCGCCGAAGTCCAGAGCACTGCTGAGAGCACTAGAAGTAAGATAATTGATAATTCATTGATTACTTTTGTAATTCAGTTTATATTTCAATTGCCTTTTATTTTTAGCTAAAAAGTCCATAAAACTGAGCCAAAAGGCGAGCACTTTGGCAACTCGTTACACTGGGGAAATGGTTGGCGACTTTAGAGTGCGTCTGACGCCTACAACTGATTTCCGTCAGTACTTGGCAGCTCCCCAATTACCTTACGAGAACACCAGCGTGTCCAGCATGGGTTCGATTGACGAGGAGAGACCTTCTGAGGTAGTAAATCATTATTGAAGTAAACCTTCTTTAGACGTATAAATCCGTACAAATGCAACGGAAGTACGTTACGGCAGATAAGATAAGAGTCGAGTGCCAATGATTTGTTATTCGCTCTCGATGATGTCATTTCTATACGGGTCGATTGTGATTAGTCGTCGCGTATGTGAATAGAATTCTGTCGTTGTATGCGTACAGATATCAACAAGGAAATCGGCATAGATAAATAAACATTTTAAAGTTACATCGTAGTACAAATCTCGATTTAATGAAAAATGCCTGAATCAGAACAATATCTTACACTGTCTCCCGTAAATAATTATAATTAAAATAATAAAATAAATGCAGCATTTGCGCCGTGTATGAAACATAGGTTTATTGAAATAATTTCTATATTATTCGTAGATTCTATAAATCTTTGTTATTGAAGTGATTGAAATGGAAAATATTTTTTAGGCAAAACAGATATTACAGCTGTTCAAAGAATGAGATTAAATCGTCAACGAAAAAGTAAAAAAATACCATCAGTCGATGAATGTATGTTAATTTTAATTACATGAAGTTCTTCAAACACAATTATTACATGATGAGTGATAAGTTACGAAAACATTATTTGTTTAGGCGTTGTTTAAAATAATCCACTGTGTGAACGAATATTATAGAATGTATTAATCAGCAATTACTTCATTTCTCTAATGGTGGAGGTTCATTTCTAAATCCTAATTATAATGACAAACTGATCATGTCATATTTGAAGTATGACTTTAATTACATTTTAAAATATTATACACATTTTTAATGCTATTATTCAGTGCTGGATTTACACTAGGGGCTATTGTAAAGGGCGGCAAATATTCTAGGACGGCAAAATTTGAAAAGTGAGAAAAAAATTCGATATAATAAAGTTAACCAATTTAATAACAATTGTATTTCAAGAAATATAACTAACAAAACATAATACGGCAATTTGGCAACTAGAGAGATTCGTAATCGAGCTGAAAGTTCAAAAAAAATATATTCTTCAGATCTTATCCTAAGGGAAGTTAAAAAGTTCGTCGAATGTGCCTGATTGTTAGAACAAATAGGAAATTTTGTTATATTATTGAATTCCCGTAGGGTAAGTTATAATACATAATACCATAAAAAATCGAAAATGCAAATTTTTGCATATCTTTAAAGCGTTTCAAAACCTTCTGATCATTTTGGCATATCTTACAATTGGAAAAAATCGATGTATGTGTTTGTGTGTTCGGATACAAATTATCGTCGACTATTTTGGGAACACAGTTCAAACGATTTGAATAATTCAAAAAACATTCGGTTTGGTTTAATGCGGTAAGATGTGCTGATTATATTTTGATCGTTTCGAAGATACGGTGCAAAATGTACCAAAAATAGTAATTAATCTTTATTAATAATTAGTCTTTAAAATAACGGAGCATCCGATTTGAACGAAGAACTATAGTTAAATTAAATTAATAACATTTTTGGGAAGGTAGGTTTATCGTTTTCGAAAATCCAATAGAACAAAGTAAACAAAAATGCCAACAAAAAACATTTTTTTAAAAAGTCAAACCTTCAAAAATTTCAAGATTCTAAAAAATCTAATAAATCTACTAATAAGCAATATTCATAATTGTTATATGATGTTTTATTTATTTTTACTTAAATGCCATCTTGCACAGTAGCAAATAAGTTTTACTTCAATCGCGTGTGATCCTTAGGCGCACTCTTCTTTTTGTTTAATATAATCTTTAATTATAAGATTATCTGCTAAGTATTAGATGTCTTTAACACTATCTATCTAATGCTGCCTTTGTACTATTAAATTTTTCATTGTCCTTTACTCATTTAGGAAATATCTGGCGACTTCAAAGTTTCAAAAGTAGCTTATCAGGATGAAAAAGACGATGTCTTGTTCGAGGATATATTTGTATCGCCTGAAACAGAGAAACAAACTGAATATTCAGGGGAAAGCATTGGTGAAGAAAGCGATGTCTCTTCAGAATCTATTGATCAGGAACAGTGTATTGAAACCATTAAAAGTTAGTTTTATGAAGCAAAGATATTTATATTATATTTTATTTATAGAAGCGTTACTATATATTTTTATTTTCAGATGTTTTCAGCGAGAAATTTTTCGATGACGCCGCGAAACAGAAGATTTTTGCCAGAGGTACATTATTTTTTCATGCTACTTCTAAGATATTATGAATATTTATTGAGTTTCTATTTTTGTCAGTATTCAAACTATTTAAATTGGAGCAAGAAGCAGCAGAACGTGCTGCCTTGTTGCAACAAAGAGGCACCATTGACAGAGAAAAAGTTAAAAACCAAATTCACATGATGAGGTTGGAGAGGACTAAATTGCGAAAAATCAATTTGCTGCTGCAACGAAGAATATCTAACTATGTAGCTGCGGATAAGGTTAGATATTTTTATCAAAATTTGTTTTTCTCATCCTAAAAAATCCGAATCGCTAATTTTATGTTTTTTCGATGTTTCAAGCCATTCTGAATCGAATGAGACCAACATTTGGAAAAAGTATATGTGTGTGTGCGTGTGCGTGTGCGTGAACAGATTTTTTGCCGTGAATCGACGTTTTCTTAAAACGCGCCTGAACCGATTTCAGAAATTTAAAAGTCTTGATGTATTTCAATGAGGACTATCGTTTGTCAGTTTTGTGCGACGATCGGCCGAGCCATTTCTTTGAAAATTGGAAAAAAGTGTTAAACTTTTCATTCACATTTAAGCTCATACTACAAATCGATTATAAAAAATCAGAAAATGTTTAAAAGATATTAGTTGGGAATGATACTGATCAGTTTTAGGTGAAAATCTACCGAGCCGTTTTCTTGTAATTAACTGTTGAAAAAAATTTAAGCCGATTTTTATGAAACTTTATTTGGCGTTATATATCATGGTCTTACAAAATTTGCTGAAATATTAATGCCTTACGATAAGTAGTTTAATTTTAAAAATGTATCAAAGTTTGAGAAAATGAGTGGTTTTTTTTGACGTTTGTTAAAATTAACATTAGACGAGTTAATTGGTATAACGATAAAGTGTCTGTTTCGTGTTAATGATGTGTAATAAATCCACTCGGAATACTTCTAATCACTCATATATTAATTTGTTTATTATTAATTAAGTCGATTATTTACACATATCAGGAAGTTTATGTAACTTGCCTCAAGGAAAAATACCAATACAAACTTGTTTTTTCTGTTTTTAGTTGGATCAGGATATCCGGATTATAAGACGCAAACGACCGTTGGGAATATTCACTTTGGACAAGAACAAATTGTATAAGGATAAATTGCAAAAGTATTTGAAGAATGAGATTTATTATTACCTTATGCTATTTTACCTTTATCATGTGTCTTTTAATACCAGGTTTGGGGAGTTGTTGACCAGTTGGAAAACGGAGCATCGTCTGATGACCAGAAGGACTCGCGCCCTTCAGGAGGACTGTGACAACGCGAGCGAACATTTTGCTAAAGAATTGGTGGTGTACGAGAAGAGACTTAGGGAAGTCGGGGTTGGCCTAATTAGGGCTCGGAATGCTCAACCGTTGCAGGAAAAGGTAGAGATTGATTGAAATTTAAAGCTGTTGACTAACAAACTTATATTAACTTCCCGTAGGGTAGTTTTAGTAATGGGCCGAAAATCGAAAATGAAAATTTTTGCATTTCTCAACGTTTTGAAGGTTTCTCAATATTTTGACATACCTCAAAAAACTAATAGATATGTGTGTGTGTGTGTTTTGTATGTCCGCATTTTTTTGTCCACGTTTTCGGGCGCACGGATTTACCGATTTGAATGGTTTATAAAACATTCGATTTCTATTGATAGGGAGATGTGTTGATTAGTTTTTGGCGAAGGCAGGTCCAGCCGTTACGGAGATACAGAGCAAAGAGTGCAGAAAATACAAATCGAGTTTTTGAGGGTACGGAGTATCGGATTTGAATGATCTAAAAACATTCAATTTGTAATGATTGAGAGAAGTGGTTATTAGTTTTTGGCAAAGGCAGGCCCAGACATTTCGAAGATACAGAGCTAAATGAGCAAAAAATGGCAGTTTTTGGATGATCTAAAAAACTTTCTCCTATATTGACAAAACAATTACTTTTGAGGATAAAACATTATTACATCTTTGTTTTTATTTTCCATAAAATATTTTTGTAATTTTGGATTAAAAATTAAAAAAATGACCCAGGCTAAGCACAGTCTAAGCGCCACTCTGGCACAAATGTTTAGCCAAGTACGTTTAGACTGTTTAAGTACTGGAGCACTTTTTCAATTTTGTGAAAACCATTGAAAAATGTGAAAATGACGCCAAGCTAAGCACAGTATAAGTGAAAATGTTGCACAGAATTATTTGCAAGTGCGCTTAGACTGTGACTATACAGGAGCACTTTTTCACTTGTGTAAATTGGGCAACTATTTTTTTGAAATTGAACTTGAAAAGAAATGACGATTGTTAATATTCTGGAAATAGATAAATTGATTTATGATTTACATTTGATTTGCTCAGATATAACAAGATAGCAAAAATAATTAAAGTTACAGTATTTGTAATAATATATATTTGAAAGCGTTTAAAATTTTTCGATTATTTCATTACGGTACGGGAAGTTCCAGCAATTTGCCTTAAGGCACGATGCCACACACCACTAGTTTTTTTTTAATTTCAGGTCGTGGATCGTTATCTAAGAAGACAACGACTCAAATTGCATGAATTGTCGGCGCAGCGCCTTCGTCTGCTGAAGGTTCTGAGGGCCCTCAAGCAAGCCGAGGACTATTGGAAAACTTTTTCTGTAATTGATCCGTCTAAGCCAAAAGAAAGATCTATTATGGTATATGAAAAGCTCTTGGCTATGAAGCAGCATCGAGCAGAAAAATTAGAAGGTAATAGTAAAACATAAGTTTCTCCCTTTTGAAGCTTCCAATAATTTTTGATTCTACAAGTTTTTTTTTCCTAGATCGTAAATCGGAAATCCAGGCCCTGGATGAAAAGTGCCGCGGCATAGCGGTGGCCTTGGCCCATGTGCGAGAAAAAGCCCATGCCGTCAAATATGATGTCCTGTACAGTACTGAAATGCTGCAAGGATATGAGGAAGACGCTGCCTGGGTAATGAAATTAAAAATAATTTTTAATGTACAGGTTTAATGTAATTATCTAAATTTTTAGATCCGCTTATTAACAAACAGTAGCAAGATGGCACGTGATCGTTTAAAAAGAGAAATTGAGAAGAAGAAAATGCAGTGCGGTTTGATGCTGCGTCCGGATTTGCTGAAGGACATGATGAAGATTGTTGAGAAAGTAAGAAATCGTAGACAAAAAATTGTATCCACACATACGTACTCACACACACATTCATTTTTTGTAAGGTATGCGAAAATGTACAGAAACCCCTGAAACATAAAAAAATATATAAAAATTTTATGTTTCGATTTTTTGAGATTGCTATAACTTACTTTACGGTCAATAGTTATAAATTTAAATGTACCTTTCCATTGTATTTCATTATTTTTCTTTCCAGGTGGAGGAACGAAAAATCGAGCTAGAAAAGCAGAAAGAATTGCATCAGAAAGAGCACGAGCAATTGGTGAGAATAAGGGAAAAAATACACGAACGCAGTAAAAGTAGAGATATTTTAAGGGAACCTTTCAAGATTTATTGATTGTTAAAGAATTTGATGTTTTGTAGGGTTGAGAATGAAGCACAATTGCTAATGGGTCACTTATATGTGAACTATATATTTTATGACCTCTGAAAACATAAAGTGGTAAAAAAATATTAAAAATATATTTTTTATAAAAAATATTATTTGGGTCACGTATATGTGAAATATATATTTTATGACCTTTGAAAACAAATGGTAAAAAAATATTAAAAATATATTTTTATAAAAAAAATATTAAAAATATATTTTTATATAAAAAATATTAGTTTGATTTTAGTTGTTTGATAAGCTAATTAAGTGCTTAATTATTTTATTGAAACTTTTTGACATATAAAGGTAGAATTTGTGGTCTAAAGTTAATTATGAAGAAAGTTCTGCAGAATTTTATATAATTTCTAAAAGCAAAAAAAGATTCATAGTTTAGAAAAATAAAAAGTTTTGCACTCATTGTCAACATTTTTAGTAAACAAAATTGTTTCATTGTATGTTTCATTTTTTTTGTATTTTTGTATTTTTTTGCTCATATCAATTTTGTAAATAAGACATTAAAGTCTTGATTAACAAAAATAAATTGTAACAAAAAAAAATTGTATAATGTTTTCCAAAAATAATTTAAAAGACCCGAATTTTTAACAAACATAAAGTTACCTTAATATGGGCTGTTACTAATTATGAAATAAGACACTAAATATGTGTCAAATATTAAAATTATACATGTTTATTTGCATATTTTACATTTAAATATTAACAAAGAGAAGAAAAACCATATTTTGAAAAAGAACATAATTACTTATTCAAATATCAACGGTTTTTTGTAATTCGTTGACAACTTCATGTTATTTTACAAAATTCTATTGTGCAATTGTGTTCAACTGTCAAGAGCTGTCAAAATCTATTTCAAGATCTTTTGATCGAATCAATTATTTAAAACGTAGATAAACGATAGTAGCATTTCTGGTGTTTTTAACTAATTCTTTTAGTTTAATTTTAAAATTCAATAATTTGATTTATATTTAAATATCTAGTTCATAAGTTTGCACTACATGATAACACTTGCAAAATTGGTTTTCAATCCTCCACTTGACTGCTGAAAATAGCAAAAACAATCATGAGTTACATAAAAAGTGTACAATTAGGAAAATCGGAAGATATTACAGTATTTCCAGAAGATCGGTTACCGATTTGTTGGCACGATAAAACTAGAATTAATGCTCTCTTTGCACCATTTCGTCCAAAAAATGTAAACCCAGAAGATTGGGAATCTAAATTGCAATTTTGGTCGAGTTTAATTAAGAAATGGTGCGATATTAAAGGCTGTGCAAACTTTACAATGGTTGAATTGAAAAAGATATATGTGGAAAATAAAAGAAGTCCGGCTTGTTTGGAGACCGTTATTCAAGAAATGTACAAGTAAGGAGTAATTGAATCATCTTTATGCTATCTATCTTTATTTTATTTTATTAAATGTTTAGTTATTATTTTTAATGGTTGTATAATATTTACAGATCTGGAGAAATCACAATGGCTTCGATGTTTTATGAAGCACCAACAGCAGATTGGGGCAATTGGGCAGTTAATTCAGTCGCTAAAACACTGAGATGGTCTTTTAACACAATTAGATCATCTTTATTTAACCCACCAATTGAAGAAGATACTATTTATATCGTTTTAGAAAATGCAAGGGTAATAATTGTTTTATTTGTAAAATTACATACTTATATTATGTAATACATATTTATGAGTCATTTTTTTATTTTTAAGAAAAATGGTGATGAACTTCTAAGAAAGCTGAAAGCTTATCGAAATCCAATCTTTAATAAAGGATTGATATCACTGCAAACAGCGCAGGATTGTGGTAGGCAAATGAAATTATCAGAAGAAGGAACATTAATAGCTTTGCATCAACTTTATGTATTAAAAAAAATTTATATAAAGACAATATCTGATAAAATTAATTCTAATTCAAAGTGTGACACCATCATCAAACTTCCAGGTAATTTAATAAATGTTTTATATTAAAAAATTAATGAGATTCATACAAAATGTATTAATAAATAATTTTTAATTTATTTTCAGATGGTTCTGGAGTGTGTAGTGATATAACTCCTGTAGATATAGGTATATATACATTACAACAGAATGAAAAATATTTAATGGACTCGATTAATAATTTGGAAGAACAAAAAGAATTATTAAGGCTTGAAGCGAAAAAGTATTTAGAAACTAAGAAAAACAATATGGCAAAGAATTGTTTGAAACGTAAACGCCAATTAGATGCTTCTATTGGTACGTATTTTATTTAATTAGTATTTTATATACAAGTGTGTTAACAAATTTCATATTTTAGAAAAAAGGATGCAAACACTTGATAATATACAAGGTTTATTAACCAGAATACAAGATTCACAATCGGACGGTCAAATTTTCGATAGCTATCAAAGTGGACTGGCAGCTTTAAAAGACACAATGAAGGAATTAAAACTCAACTCAGACTTTGTTCAAGATACTATGGCTAATCTGCAAGACGTAAGTTCACCTTAAACATGGACTTGTTAACAAACACTTTATTAACTATCAATTATTTTTTATCAATTATTATCAATTATTTATCAATTTTTTGCAGACTCTTGAGGAGTGTGATGAGATCCAATCCGACATGTCTAATTTGAAAGTAGACGATACTGATATTGGAGAACTTGAAAACGAGTTAGAAGATTTATTAAAAGAAACAAAACCAGAAAAACCAGAAGTTAAAGAGATTGCAGCTGATAAAAAACCTATGATATATCCTAAACTTGAAGACAATTTGGATGATGATGCTTTGAATGATATGCTTTCAAAGTTGCCAAAGATACCTGAAAAATTGTCACCAAAAAAACAAGAAATTGAACAAAAGATATCGAATTAAAAGTTAATTTGGGAATTTTAAACAAGTGCCTTTATTTTGCTCAAACTGTGATTATATAAGAAAATTTTATACTCTTAGGAATTACTTTTGTGTATCTTCATCTACTATCCAATGAATATGACTGTCTCTGGTTTAGACGGTAAATCTGGTGGATCAATGAAGTGTTTTGGTGATATATACATATCTATTGGATATTCTAATGGAAATTGTGCTCGCAGACCTACTTCTTCTGCAAATAATTGTTTTTTTTAATCATTATTGATATTTAATCTTAATTATATGGAATATGGAATATAAAAGGTTTTATCAATTATATTTTTATATTAAATAAGCATCTCACATTACATAATTATATTTTTGCTGTAAGTAGTAAGTATAAATTTTAAAAGTTTTTTATGTTACAATCAAATTAAACATGATTCATCTATATGATCTGATATAAATAATTATAAACTCAAGTGTAATTTATTTTATACCTGAACTTGTTCTGGGAACCCGATTTGTTGGCTTAACTTCAATTTCAATTGGATTTAGCCAAGGATTGTATGAAGTTCTTATATTACCCTTTTCAATGTGCCTTCGTTCAACGGCAGGGATTTTAATTTGGTCTCGCCATTTGGCAAGTTCTTCATAGTCTTTACCCCATGTTTGTTGCCACTTTTTACGTGCTTGGTATTCTCTCCATGCTGTTTCTTTCCTGAGTAAGAAAATAATTAATATTATAAATTGATTTATTGATTTTAATAACATTTTAATTTAAACATATTGTTATGCTTTTTAGTATTATTTATTTAAATATTATGTTATTGCAGTTTGTACACATATATATATATATATATATATATATAAATATATATATATATATATATCGATGCTTTTCTGACGCAACCTCGTATCTCAGAAACTACTACTTTTCAGGAGAGACAAAAAACGTTTTATAACGAATTTTTGAACTGCTGTTAACAATTTTTTTTTATAAATTTTAAAAATATTCAATCTTGTGACAATTATTTGAGACAAGTATGATATTACAAACAATTAATCATTATTTTTTCTTCAATTCTTTGAGATACGTGTTTGTCGCACGGAAAAAAATGTAACATACGTGGTTGCGTCATGCTGTTTTCAAATAAGAGTACATGAATAACTTTCTTCAATTGTTTTATTTTGAGAATCGATCAACTTTTTAAATAATTCTTAATAAAAAAAACAAACATTATTAAACTTGTGGTATATGTTAGTTTATAATTACGACAATATAGTATCTGGCCATAGGTTAACCTAATTAGGTATTTCAATATCTAGGATATTTAGCTCTTTCATGGATTTATAATTTACTACTTTGTGATTATCATTTTTATTGTTACTTTTATTCTTTTTTGTTATTATTTCTTTATTTAATGATTTTTTAACTGCGGATGACACATTATCTAACTCTAAAAAATACAAAATTTAATTTCATTTATTGTCAGTAAGAATTGATAATTGTTTAATTTTTGTAGCTTACTGTGATATTTGTTCTCAACATAATAAAAATATAACTAGTGGTGCATGGCATCGTGCCTTTAAGCAAATTGGTGGAACTTCCCGTTCCGTAATTAAATAGAATCGAGGAATAATAAATGATTACAAATAGATTATTGTAAGTACTGTAACTTTTGTTATGTGTATTTGAATGACAAAATATAAGAATAAACTGGACAACGACGTTTATATATGTTTACATAAAAAGTAAATAAAAGTAAAAAAAAACATATCTCATATATATTTCTAAGAATTACATAAACTAATTTGCAAATTTAAATTTATTTATTTGAAGTATATAAGAGAGTTTTAGAATTTTAGCTAGCATTAAAATTAAAATCCTAATTATTTTTCATATTTAAACAAAGAAATAATTGTAAATTAAAAAAAATGGACAAAAAAATTCTACTTCCCTGTCTTTTCCAGAATCACCACGTCATCAATACAAATTGAATGTTTTTAAATAATTCAAATCGGATGCTCTGTTTTCTCAATAGGAAACGATTGTTTTTTGAATGTTTCAAATCGGTTGATCTGTGCTCCCGAAAACGTGGACAGAAAATTATATCCACACACACACACGCACACAAACACATACATCCATTTTATTAAGGTATGTCAAGATATTCAGAAACCTCTGAAACGTTAAATATGCAAAAAGTTTCATTTTCAATTTTCGGAAAATTACTATAACTTGCGGTAAGTAAATAATAAATATATTTATTAACTATCGTTCATTAAGTTTTAATAACAAATAACTTAATTGAATAATAATTTTTATTAGAAAGTTTGAACTAAACAACATTGCTGACAGCGAAACTTGTTCATATACGCCACCATGTATTCTGAGATACGAGGTTGCGCATGTCACATTTTTCTGAATTGAGATACGTGATTGTATTTTTCTCAATAAAAAACGTTCGGTTGATTTTTTTTTTACAAAACTTCACAGATCTATGCGTCTATATTTAGTGATTGATTTTCCGATTAAAACTCAAAATCGTCAAAAATCGAGTTACGAGGTTGCGTCAGAAAAGCATCGATATATATATATATATTTATTTATTTATTATAAAGCGTGGTGTTTTTGAAGTAAAACTTCTTTAGGCGCGATATGGGTGTAAAAATTTCTTTAGGCTACACGGGTGTAAATCCGTACAAATGCAACGAAAACGCCAACGTGTAGTTGAACACTACGACGCCGTAAGCGCTGATGTCGCGAGTATCCACTCCCGTCATGTCATGCGTAAGTCGAGCGCTAAACCCTATATGAACTTGCATTAATTGAATCATGTTTTTTATGTTATGTCCTCATGGAATAAGACTTTTCTTAGAGAATAAATGTGTCATGGAATATAATAAATTTATACTGAATCTCGTTGAAGACAAAATAATATCTACTGCCACGGATATTTATGTAGGTTGCCATGCGACAGATCAACAATCATACATTCGTCAGCAGTTTCACAAAAATCGGTTATTGATACCGCGGGTTTGCCGTATGAAATAATTTTAGTTCTGAATAAATTTTACATTATAACAACTAATATTGATGTAAGTGATGGCTTAGCTAATGGTTGTGTAGGAAAATTAGTGTACATAGAACGTGGCGATAATGATGAACTTCTACGTTTATGGTTTGAATTTCCTGGTAAGATAGGTAACAAAATAAGAAGAAAGCTGCACATCATATTCAAACTCCTAATATTAGTAGGACAGCTGTGCCGATTCTCAGGAGATCTTCATCTATTTCAATGAATAGAAATAAAATCATATTTGTCAAAAGAAATCATTTTCCTTTAGTGTCTGCTTGTGCACTCACAATACACAAATCACAAGGTGGTACTTTTGATAAAATTGTATATGAATACAATAAAACATATAATCAGCAGCTTCTATATGTTGCATTATCACGAGTTACCAGCATTAATGGATTGTTAATCATTTCAAAAAATTTTATCATGGAAGAAAACGGCCAGCAGGATTAATGAACTTAAAAACTGAATTCCAAAGACTTTCAACTTGTAGATTAATAACACAAGAAGAAAAATTGAGTGAGATAATAAGTTTGAACGACATTTCATTGTTTTCCTTTAACTGCCAAAGTTTACGAGCTCATTTGCCTGATCTGCAAGATAAAGTGCTACAACGTTGTACGTTTTTGTTATTTTCGGAAACTTAGATTAATAATGAAGAACGAATTAATATTCAGAACTATTACTGCGTTACTCAATACAAACGATCGGACTCAAGAGCAGGTGGTGTAGCTGTCTAATGTCTATTATTCATGTTCAGATACTCTTCATAATGCGACTCCTATGCAGTTTCTTGCGCCAACGATATTACTGGATATTTCTAATGAAATTACACAAGTAGGTGATATTACACACACAGAATCAAACATTGATTATAGTCGTCCTTTACATTTCTCCCAATAAAAACATATCAAATATTATTAAATTTCTTCATCAGCAGTTACTTCATTTTTCTTATGAGGGTGCAAACTTTTAAACACTAATCACAACGAGATACCATTAATTCTTGCTGGAGATTTCAATGTCAATTTTCGTTCAGAAGAATCTCAACCATTAATTGATTTTTTAAATAATAAATTTAATTTAACAATGAATAATTCTCCATTTGAATCAACCACAAGATATGGCACGACTATTGATGCAGTTTTCTCCAGAAATGTACATAGTTTACAAAGCAAAATTTATGTCTCTCATTTTAGTTATCACAAACCTATTATATCATATATGAAATATGATAGCAATTAATCTATCGATGTTGTTTTAAACTGTGTTATTGATGTTATGTGATTATTAATAAATGATTTTTAAAATTTAAATATGATGTTTTTTTTATTTTTATCTTAATTGCCTACTCATACAATATTAAAAGTTTTACTTCAATCGCGTGTGATCCTTACGCGCACTCTTTTTTTTTTATTTTGGCGTTCATCCAACAAATTCGTAAAGAAAAATGTTTTTAATGACTCATCTTTAGTGCTACGTTAAAAAACTTCAAGATTACAAGTTGGAAATATATAAAAATGCAAAATTGCCAAAATTATAGTTATAAATATGAATAATAATATAAATATATAGATTTAAAACAACAACAATATGATAATAAACTTTTAATTTATTTATTTATTTAAGCAACATCATTTTGTTAAAAAATTATTATTATTCGGATTATTATTATTATTGTTTAGATTTATGTTGTCATTCATGCTTATAAATTTATTTTTGTTAAATTTGTAATTTTTTATGTATATAATTAAGTTAAGTCTAATCCTGAACTTTTTTAATGTAGCATTGAAGATGAGTGAAATAAAGACTCGAAACGTTTACTACTAAAATAAAGACATATTATATATATATATATATATATATATATTATATTAGTTTTAATCAAATTATGTTAAATTAGTAAAGAAAACACTTACAATTTTCCATCTTCTTTAACAGTAAGCATTGTAGTATAATATATTTATTATATTATTTCAAATTATTGAGCAAACATTTTATTTGTATTTGTGAACAGAAGTTTATTGATCACACTTTATTTCTAAACCCGACATTTTTATATAATTATATTTGATTTAAATTGAGATTTAAATCTCATTGGTTGGTATATGATATAATTCAATATAAGTAGTACAAATAGATCAACCTGATAAATTTCAATAAATGAAATAAGGACAAAATATATGCGTATAATATATATTTTCATCAAAATATAAATAAAAAT